AAAACGGATAGAGTTGAATTTATTCGTAGTTCTAAGGATATGTGATATAGCTTAATATAAATCGTAAGGATAAAAGAAAATATCAAATATGGACCGCAAAGAGTGCAAAATAAACAAAGTTGTAAAGAAGGTGATTTTTAAGACTAAGCAAGATGAATCAGTATATGAGGCTTAAAAGAGTAACTCTTGAATATAAGAGGATATGGTGCTTGAATTATAATGTGAGCTCCAAAAACTGCCCTTACAGAAATGATAACCCTCGCCTTTATAGTATAGGGATCTTACTTTAAATATAATTAAAAATACTCAGTGGGAGATCCATGATAAATCAGTTTTTTCATAATTCCTGCCAAGATTCTCTCCTCTAGTAGGATTGCAACGGCTTTTGTCTGCGAGCTCGATCTTGACTCGAGCTCTAGATCTTGGCTTGAGCTCGATTCTGACTCGAGCTCTCGATCTTGGCTTGAGCTCAATTCTGACTCGAGCTCTCGATCTTGGCTTAAGCTCGATTCTGACTCGGACCCTTGAATTGATTCAGGGTCAATGTTGGTCGGTCTCAGGATCATAAGCTTGATAGTTTTACTTTGCATCATAGTTCGATTTCGATTCGAGCTTGATAATGATATCGAACTTGACATTGATCCGCCCCTCGGGTTCGAAGCTTGTTTGTACCATCTTCGGAACTCATCTCGACGGCTCACTTCGATCGATTATCGTTCGAACTCGATCAGACGTACGAAGGCCGAAATCTATTTTGACCGTATACACAATTTGTAGAGAGGAGAATTCTAATCGGAAACTTGAGCAACCGATGCTCATTTTCACCTTGCATTTTGTTTTATATCATGAGGTATATTGTAACAAATAGGCAAACCTCTCACTTATATTAATAAGAAATTGGAACTAATAACAGATTCAGATAACAAAATCAGCACTCAAATTGTTGAATTATAACGAGGAATTCTGAAATACAAAAGTAACCAAGGATAGAGCTAAGGTGGAAATGAGAAATCAAAATCACAATTTAACAAACTTCAGCCTAAAAAATGCTCTACGCCCTCCCCCGTATTTATAACTAATTTTCCGCCCCAAACAACATTATTTTGCATTTGCTCTGTGGCATGCCTCGTGGCATCATAATCAGCTTAGTCCAATTGACCATGTCACAATATTTAGGGAATAATTTATTGTAAGTCAGTTAGCTTGTTCAAGGCAGTTAATCCGACTGCTAATCTTAATTCTAAAGAGATAATAACAAAGACAATGATTTCTTGCTGATTTGTGTCGTTGGTGCTCCAAGCAAATCCCTACCAGCACCAACAGCCATTTGTCTTTTATCCAAACCAAAAAACAATAATAATGTCACGACCCCATTTCCCTCTCTGTAGGATATCGTGATGACACATAGTTTCTAAGACAAGATAAGCCTACAAATTTGCGGAATCAATGAATAATGAACTCAACTCCAATCTCAACTCATGATATATAAATATAAAACCGTCATTCAATAATTACAACTCCCAAAACCCTGTGGAAACAAGTCACAAGCTTCTAATAGAAATATTAAGTGTCTCTATGCATCAAGTCTAAAGAGAATCACGAAAATAATATAATAAGGATAGAGGGGGACTCCGAGGTCTGCGGACGCTGGTAGATATACCTTGAAGTCTCCACGTGTGGTCCAACTCATTGGTATCTAGTCTCGTGGGAAGAACCTGGATCTGCACAAAAAGATGTGTAGAGTGTAGTATGAGTACGCTACAATGGTACCTAGTAAGTGTCAAGTCTAACCTCGGTAGAGTAGTGACGAGGTCAGGTCAGGGCCCTACTGGTTTAAAAGAAAAGTAAGGCAGAAAATACAATAGTATTTTGAAATGACTGAGAATTTAAACAATAAGAAGTTTCAGAAAATATCAGCACAATAAATAGAGGTACACAGCAGAGGCACTCCCGAGGTACCGCCTCGTAGTCCCAATGTAAAGATGCAGTATATGGGGGATCTCTCGAGAAACCGCCTCGTAGTCCCAAAGTAAATATGCAGTACATGGGGATATCCCGAGTAAGTGCCTCGTAGTCCCAAAGTAAATATGCAGTACAGAGGGATCTCCCGAGTAAATGTCTCGTAGTCCCAAAGTAAATATGCAGTATAGGTAATCGAAAGAAAACACAAATTTTGAGCAAGAATCTTACAGTTAAAGATTTAATTCAAATAAAGGAAAACACGTAATTCAACTAAGCAAGTTGCACAAATTGTAAGTAAGAGTTAAGGTACATAGACATGCGATGCTAGACTAAACATGATCACTACATATGCCAAGGCAGCTCAGTTAATGTATTTTAAAAGAAGACAACTCAGTTAATGTATTTTTTAAACGATGACAAATCAGCAAGAACCGAATTTTCCATAATCAATCCATGTACGCGCTCGTCATTTCGCGTACACGACACTCACATATTATAAATTGTTACAACAGTAATAAATCCTAAGGGGATTTCCCCCACACAAAGTTAGACAAGTCACTTACCTCAAATCTCACCCAATTAGTCAAATATTATGCCTTTCCCCGACTTTTCAACTCTGATCGGCTCGAATCTATCCAAAACAATTTCATACTATAAATATAACTAAAAGAAACTAATTTAAATAATAAAACTACGACTTTAGCAAAGAATCAAAAATTCGGCCCAAAACGTCAACCCGGACCCACGTCTCGGAATTAGGTAAACGTTACAAAATACGAACACGCATTCAATATCGAGTTCACCCATACCAAAAATACCAAAATCCGATACCAAGTCGCCCCTCAAATCCACAAATTATACTTTCCAAATCTCTAGCCTCAACTCCCACATTTCACCTTAAATACACACAATCTAGGTGGGGAAACAAGATTATTTATAAGAATAAGCACAAGGGATTTACCTCAAGAAATCCCTCAAAAATGCTCTCAAAAATCGTCAAACCCGAGCTCAAAATGTCCAAAAACGAAGAATGAAATAAACCCTGAGAATTGCCCTCTTTTTGCCTAGCGAAATTGCTTCTGCGAGCCCACAACCGCATTTGCGGCTCCGCACCTGCGGAATTTCCACCGTAGATGCGGTTCTAACTTAATCTGGGCACATCCGCTTCTGCATACCCAAACGCGCTTCTGCACACCCGCTCCTGCGGTCTAAGTCCGCTTTTGCGACCAACAGGCCTCCCACGCCTTTCCGCTTCTGCGCTTATTCCTCCGCAGAAGCGACTCCGCTCCTGCGGTCTTCACGTTGCATCTGCGACCACTGGCCAAGCCCCCCAGCTCCGCATCTGCGCCCAATTGCTCGCTTCTGCGGGCTCGCACCTGCGGTCAATCTTGCGGAGGTGCGATTACACCAGAACCAACCGAGCATCATAAAATCTTGTAAGTCCAAAAATGATCCGTTAACCATCCGAAACTCACCTGAGGCTCCCAGGGCCTCAACCAAATATACCAACCAATCCTAAAATATCACAAGAACTTAGTAGAGCCTTTAAATTACATCAAACAACTCTAAAAATACGAATTACACATCGATTCAAGCCTAATGAACTTCAAAGTTTTAAACTTCTACATCTGACGCCGAAACCCATCAAATCAAGTTCGATTGACCTTAGATTTTGCACACAAGTCATAATTGACATTACAAACCTATTTCAACTTCCGAAATCGAAATCCGACCCCGATATCATAAAGTCCACTCCCGGTCAAAAACTTCTCAAAAACCATCCTATTTTCTAACTTTCGCCAATTGACGCTAAAATGACTTGCGAACCTCCAATTCAACATTCGAACACGCTCCTAAGACCAAAATTACTCTACGGAGCTATTGGAACCATCAAAATTCCATTCTGGAGTCGACTTCACACAGTTCGAACTACGGTCAATTCATATGACTTAAACCTCTATTTTAGGGACTATGTGTCCCATTTCACTCCGAAACCAAAGACAAATCCTCCCGGCAAGTCACAAAACCCAAAAATAAAAAAGAGGAAGCAATATTAAATATGGATCGGGCCAAAAAAATAAATATTTGGGGATAAATCATTTTTTCGGAATGTTTTTACCTTTTTCGGAATAAGTGTTGATTCTGTATTTTAATAAAAAATTCTGAAATAAATAATTTTTCCGGAATTTTTTTTACTTTTTCCCAAATAAGTGTTGATTTTGTATTTTAATAAAAAATTCCGAAATAAATAAATTTTTTTCTGAAATTTTTACTTTTTTCGGAATAAGTGTTGATTTTGTATTTTAATACAAATTTTTGAAAAAATATTTTTGCCAAAAACATAATTTTGCCATGCTGGATTGCTTAGGTGGATGGTCATGTAAGCAAATCTAACCTAGTTGGACTGCCATGTTACGTTCAATGGCAAGACTAACGGTTTAAGGGCACGTGTGGTCCAAAATATAGACGACATGGATATTTTTGGTACCATAAATAAACGGAGGGCATTTTGAGTTATTTCAAATAGTTCTAGGGCATTTTTGGCCATTTTCCGTATTTATAAAAAGAGTCGCACAAATATATGAAATACATAATTAAATAGTTGTAATCCCTATTTTTTAGGCGGATTAACTTAGTGTATATATAAACACAGTCGCGCGAATACATGAAATACATAATTAAACTGATGTAATCTCTATTTTGTTACCTCACTGTATTTATAAATACAGTCGCATTAATACATGAAATGCAATATAGTAGCAATGAAATTGTAGTTACGACAAGTAAATATGAATATTATAGCTATATCACATTAATATCCACTTAACTATAGTAATTTCTGAAAAATACTCTCGTTGAAATAACGGTATCGGCTGAAATATTTGGGCATAATTGGTTTATATAATTTTAAGTGTAGACCGTAAACGTCCCAACAATAAATTTGGCAATTTTCATTCAATTGGGGTCCCATATAGTGTATGTTTGGGCTGGCCCGTGCTTAGCATGGGCCGGCCCGTCTGGTAGTAGCTATAAATTGATTGCAGATTGGGAATGTCATATACGAAGAGGTGAGTCGAGCGTGGAGTCGGGTCTGGTAAAATTTCTGGCTTCTTTGCCTATCATCAGTGCTCTGCTTAGGGCTTTGTTTCGAGGAAGAGTGCCGTGCGTTATGGCTTTCCGTTTGGTAGGGTGAGTTGATTTCAGTCTAATTTTGTTGATAATCTTTGATTTATCATAGTGCTCGTTTGGTTTTTGTATAATTTTTACTATATTTTGGTTTGGATAGAAGACAAATGGTTGCTGGTGCTGGTAGGGATGTGCTTGGAGCACCAACGACGCAAATCAGGTTTAAACGTTTTTCTTTAGATGGCAGAATTTTACCCCTCTTTTTTTAATTTTGGTATTAATTTTGATTTTGATTTGTAAGGGGATACTGCCAGCAAACCTCCTCCGTTCCTGATTACATAGTTCGTCGTAGTGGTAAATTGATCATCCAACTTGTTTAATTCTCCCTTCAAATTTCTGTTATTTATTATTATCATTATTCAACTCAGTCATTTCTGGTCCTTGCAGCTAAATGTTTTGTTGCCGGGGCAGTATTAGCTGTTACTGTCATTCATCTCGTGTATGTAACTCACTTTTCACTTTTATCCTAGAAAACTCCTCTTTTTGCTTGGTGATCAGTTCTGTTTGTTTTTTAATAATCAACAATGAACAGTATACTTTGAAATCAAATGGTACACCCCTATACTAATGGATATCCACACAAATATTAGTTTGAGTACATAATATTTTCTTTACTAGGGTGTTAAAATATGAGGTATATCCCTTCCCAAATACAAATACAAATCAAAATTACTAGTAATAAGGGTTTTGCTATATATATGGTTTTGCTAACCTACTACGTATCTGTAGCATGTTAGCATTGTGTATGTAATTGGTTTCTCAAAAATACCCCTAATAAGTGTATTGCAATAGTGTAATAGAGGTGGTCTTTTGGTAATCTCAAAAAAAAATTAAACCCAAAGTTTGTTTCTCACCCTCATTCCCTTCCCCGCCGTCCCTCTGCTACCCTATCTAATTCACCCCCCCTCCCATGCAACAACAACAACATACCCAGTAATATCCCACACCGTGGGGTCTGGGGAGAGTAGTGTGTACGCAGACCTTACCCCTACCTTGTGAGGATAGTGAGGTTGTTTCCAAAAGACCCTCGGCATAGGAAAGTATAAGAACCACATTAATGAAAATATAGACACGAAGGGACAGTATCAAGAAGCCATATAAAAGCAGAATAAAACAACCAGATAGTAAGTTGATCAACAATGAAAGAAACAACGATTAGTCATAAAAACCTACTACCAACAGAAAGCCAGACTGCGTGCCAATACTACTGTTATGAACACTCTAGACTACCTACTCTACTACCCTAATCCTCGACCTCCATACCTTCCTATCAAGGGTCATGTCCTCGGTCAGCTGAAGCTGCGCCATGTCTTGCCTAATCACCTCCCCACCTCTTCTTTGGTCTACCTCTACCATTCCATAGGCCCTCCAATGTCAACCTCTCACACCTCCTCACTGGGGTGTCTGTGCTCCTCCTCCTCACATGACCAAACCACCTAAGTCGCGCTTCCCGCATCTTGTCCTCAATAGGGGCAATACCCACCTTGTCGCGAATAACCCCATTTCTGATCCTATCTAACCTGGTGTGTCCGCACATCCATCTCAACATCATCTCTGCTACCTTCATCTTCTGGACATGAGCGATCTTGACTGGTCAACACTCAGCCCCATACAACATCGTTTGTCTGACTACCACTCTGTAGAACTTACCCTTAAGTTTCGGTGGACCCTTATTGTCACATAAAACACCGGAAGCGAGTCTCCATTTCATCCATCCCGCCCCAATACGACGTGTTACATCTTCATCAATCTCCCCACCCCCTGAATAATAGACCCAAGGTACTTAAAACTCCCTCTCCTAGGGATGACCTGCGAGTCCAGCCTCACCTCTCCTTCCCCTCCTTGAGTCGCGCCACTGAACTTACACTCCAAGTATTCTGTCTTGGTTCTGCTCAACTTGAAACCTTTAGATTCCAGGGTCTGCCTTCATACCTCTAGTTGCGCATTCATACCATCTCGCGTATCGTCAATCAATACAATATCTGCAAATAACATGCTCCACGCCATCTCCTCTTGGATGTGGCGCGTCAGTACATCCATCACCAGAGCAAACGAAAAAGGTCCGAGTGCCGACCCTGATGCAACCCCATGATCACCGAAAAATGGTCAGAGTGCCCATTCACCGTCCTCACTCGGGTCTTTACTCTATCATACATGTCCTTAATCAACCTAACGTAGGCAACAAGTACACCTCTAGCCTCCAAACATCTCCACAAAACCTCCCTCGAAACTTTATCGTATGCCTTTTCCAAGTCGATGAACACCATATGCAAGTCTTTTCTCTCCCTATACTGCTCCATCAATCTCCTAACAAGGTAGATGGCTTCTGTAGTCGCACGCCCCGGCATAAACCCAAACTGGTTCTCAGAAATAGATACACTCCTACTTACCCTTAGCTCTACCACTCTCTCCCAGACTTTCATAGTATGGCTAAGCAGTTTGATATCCCGATAGTTATTGCAATTTTGGATATCACCCTTGTTCTTGTATACAGAAACCATCATGCTCCACCTCCACTCTTCGGGCATCTTTTTCGTTCTAAAAATGACATTAAATAACCTAGTGAGCCACTCCATGCCTTCCTTGCCCGCACTCTTCCAAAACTCCACCGGGATTTCATCCGGCCCGGTCGCTTTGCCCTTGCTCATCTTACGCATAGCCCTCTAAACTTCATCAACTCTAATCCGCCTACAATACTCTAAGTCACAACGACTCCCGGAGAGTTCCAAATCACCCAGGACAATGTTCCTGTCCCCTTCCTCGTTCAAGAGACTATGGAAGTAGGTCTGCCATCTCCGATGTATAAGCTCATCATCCAACAAAACTCTACCTTCTTCGTCCTTGATGTACTTCACTTGGTCCTACTCCCGCGCTTTCCTTTCTCGCGCCTTGGCTAACCTGAACAACCTCTTATCCCCACCTCGGCCCTCGAGTTCCTCATACAAACGATTAAAAGCTGCAGTCTTGGCCGCCGTAACTGCTAACTTTGCCTCTTTCTTAGCCAACTTATACTGCTTCCTATTCGCCCTCTTCTCTTCCTCGTCTACACTTTCCACTCGCTTCAGATACGCTGCTTTCTTGGTTTTCACTTCTCCTTGCACTTCTTCATTCCACCACTTGATCCTATGTTGGCTATACATCGTCCTCTTCCTCGTGATCTCAAGGTCCATAACCAGGAGCCTATGGAGGGTCGAGAGGTTCTCACTCGGGATGACCTTGCAATCCGTGCAAAGACCTCTATCGGACTTTCTGCAGAGTAATTAATCAATCCGACTTTGTGCAAAATTAATTGGGGAAAATGGGAGAATGGGGGAGGAAATTAAAGAGGAAGCATATGCTTTTATTTGGAACAAAACCCACTGAAGTTGAAACTAAAGCATTGAACACATTTCGGTATGTTATTTCATTAATGGATTCTTAGGAAAATTGTAGTTGCAAGCTGGCTATGAAGTCATCTCTGCAAGCTGACTATGAATAGAATGAGAAGATGAGAGAGGTAGAGGGGTTACTCAATGTTATCAAAGGCGCGCTTAAGCCTGAAGTGAGGCACAAAACATGTTGAGCACTTCCCAGTATTGTCATCAAGACTCTAAGACATACTTTTCTTTGCCAATAAGCGTAATTCTAAAGAGGCGATACTAAACAATTGATATTTTACTTTATTTTAAATTTTCTTCAATTTCTTTGTCCATATATTTGGTATTCATGCTTATAGATATTAGTTTTGGACTACACATACATATTTGTAGTTTTTCTCTATTTGCGCTTTCCTTCATTAAAGCCCACGCTTTATTTGCGCTTAAAGCCCCAAAAGACCTTAGAGTTTTGTTGTGCTTTTCGCCTTTGATAACACGACTAACGGGAGAGGTATGAATTTGTCTCGAGTATAGTTATTAGAGAAATTGTGGAATTTGGGAAAGGACAAAAAGCCCTTAAGTTTAATGTGGTGGCAGCAAATAGTGAGGATAATTTTGAGAAACCAATTATGCATACAATGCTAACCTACTACAACTATGTCGTAGGTTAGCAAAACCCATATACATACATATATATGATTTTATGAATTTAAGAAGATAAACATTTTTGTTGAAATTTTTAGTTCAATTGATACTCAGAACTGAATCTACAATTGGTTCCTGACACATTTATTTTTCTTGTTAATGTATTCTATGGTCCTCTCTTTCTTTTGAGGTTAGTCCATTTGCAGGAATTTATTCATTCCTGTTACTTATCAAAAACATTTAATCTTTCCTGTTACGCTAATTTCTCAATTTATTTTTGGCAGGTTAAACCCTAAGCTGAATGAAGCCAGGGAACGGTATGTTGTACTTTCTTGGCTGTTTATTTTTCCTTTTTTTTTTGGGCGTAAACTGTTGGTTTTGTGCGCTAATTGATGGTAGTACATGTTAATGCATTCTGCTGGTCAACAAGTAGTTCTTCGCTTGCTTACTGTAGTGGTATCTTGTAGATCCTTTTTTGTTTTTTACTTTATTACCTTAGATTATTAAATGTGATATAAGCTATTAGGTTATCAACCTTAGTGCCTCGGAAGCATATGGCTTCGGGTCCAAAATCGATGGTGCTACACTAAGCTTGACATAAGCTGCCTGTACTGATATCTGCATTGCTTGTGTAACCTTCACGAGTATCTTCATGTCAAACTTATATTATTGAAATTCCTAACTTTTGTTTCCAGTTGAGAGCTCACTCATCATCTGGATCTGCCTCTCTCTTCTTAACATTTCTAAATTGTCTTTTCTCACCTCGCATAGATTGTCAGTCTCCATATACCATTCTCAGCCTTGACCTGAGCTTGCTTATATCTTGGCTTGGCTCGGCACCTTTATCACCCTAACATACTTACTCGCCTAATTATCTTCCTCTACGCACATCAAGGATTCTTTTTTTTCCCTTCCTTTTGGATTGGGTAAAAAGCCATTTTATTGCACCTAGTGTAAAGTGAATGCTATGGAGTGTGCATTACAACAAAACTAAAGCCAGCTACATTACTGCACATATAAGGACTTGAGGAAATCCAACATGCTGTCAAAATGCTAATAGAGAACACATTTTATATACAGATTCTATTTTGGTTATTGCCTATGACAGCCTTCCATACAACCCACCAAATGCGAGCGGGAACAGATATCCACAGCTTCCAATTCTCTTTCGTGTAGGATCGTCTGAGTCAAACAGCACCTTTGTCAACAAACATGTAAAATATTTAACTTGTAAAGTTTTCTACTTCCCCATAAAGTTTTCCACGACTATTCTTGTTCCCATGAGGTCTTCCTGTCTGCATATAAAACTTTTTAACTGCTTTAGCTGAAAACACACCACGTTTGCTCTGTTTCCACATTATTTTATTTTTACCCTCTGCGTGTCTCCAAATAGAACAAGAATCAATTAGCTGAAGGAGAGACCAAAATTTTCATCCACCTCCCAATCAGTTATATCTCAACATCATTTCCAATCCGTCGATTGTCCAGTACTCAGCCACTGTAGTTTTTTTGTTTGTTGCATAATTAAGTTATCTTTTCTCTATTTCCTCGCCATTGACAATTTCTACTTAGCTTATCAAGCTTCCTCTCCACCTGTAGTGCATCTGTCGCACCACTAAAGAGCAGAAACCTACCACCCAATGATAAGTTGAGAACTACTGGCCTTCCATTTTAACAACCTTTCCTCGCATTTTCCATGAATCCAGTCCTTATCATATCTGCTTTATGATTATCCCCAACGGGCATTCCCTAAAACTGCAGCTCATGATGCCAACCAGCTCTTGGATGTTTTCCACCTCATTTACCGGGGATATTTAAGACCATAAACCAGCTCAAATAACACCACTCTTCCTTGGCACCCCCCCAAGGAGGAGAGAGTCATCTGCTTACAAAATATTAGAGATAGGCACTTTGCCCTTTAGAATTAACAGAACATCCCTTATCTAACTTCTTAAAAAGCCCTTATCCAACGATGTTGCACTGCAATATTTGTCATTCTGCTTAGGGGGACCCTCGGCCTAAGTTCCCTTTGCGAAGAAAAGACACCACACGGAGTATATTAACTTAATGTGGTTCAAAACTTTACCAAACTGATCCACTTTGCTCTGGATCTCATGTCTTTCTAGATTTCTAGAAGGAAGTCCCATTTGACGTAGTCATACGCCTCTATATCCAACTTCACCAAAAGACTATCTTTTCCCCAAGTCTGAAATCCACATTTGTTAGCCATAGGATTCGTTCCTGACAAGCAACTGCTTAATCCCTCTTCCGTGCAGATTTTGCATATGCTCTTCGTGAAATTGAGCGTGTTTCTATTGAATTGAAACAACTACTATGCCTCAGTCCCAAACAAGTGAGGTTGGCTATACGAACCCTCACAGACCATGTATCTCCAGGTAAATTGGGTGATCTGCACAAATAGGATCATTTAGTATGACTTTTTTAAGTTTTGGCCTCCTTTAATTTTTTTAAACAAAACTGGACTCGCTTATCAGGAACGGAAAAAGAATCGCCATAAATTGGTCACAAAGTTTCGTTAGGTTGCCTTGTCAAAATCCTGACGGTTGCCAGGAGCGGCAAAAAAACATCAGAAATTGGGCTGAACATTTAGAATGACCAACTAAGAGGGATGATTTGGTGAAAAATTTCTGAGATTTCAATGGGTTCTAGATTCCTTTGGGTATCCTTAGTGGGAGTTTTGTTGAAAGAACAAGAAAAAGGTGTATCTTTCAAGTGGAAGAGAGAGCCCTTGCTTTTGTGGAATTTAGAGTTTCAAGTGGAAGAGAGAGAGCCCTTGCTTTTGTGGAATTTAGAGTTTATGCTTAAAGGAACAGATCTTGTAGAGAATTTTGCTGTAGTGCGAGGAGTTTTTGGTTTGGTATTGACTTGAGTTTGCAGCTTGTTATTGATCAAGAAACCCCTGCAATTTGTTACTATTTGTTGTGCTTAAGAAGTGCATTTCGTTACATCTTAACTTAAATTGGATATTATGTCTTGACATCTAGACATGTTTTCTATGTCCCTTTTCTTCAGGCAAAGTGTTTAATTATTATCGAACTACTCTAGTTTCAAGAATTTAATTCACTTTGTTATTTGCCACATCAGGGACCGTGTTCTTCACTTGGAATGGGAAGCTTCAAAGAAAAGGATGAACAGTTAAAAGTGTGTAGTTGTGTACTTATTTATGAGGATGTAGCGTTGATCCTTGTAAAAATACATTTCCTACATGTAGAAAGATACTTAGCTCTGTGATCTTGAATCAGATCCGTGACATGATGTATGTTTTTTTTTTCTAGGGAATTGATTCTCTAAAGAAGTGTCTGCAGTAAATGCTAATTTCCGTATGCAATTTTCTAGTAAGCCATAGTTTAGAGATATCACCCGCCATTAGAAACTATACTAAACTATACTAACTTATCATGATTATGTAATTATGTTAGGTGAAAATATGTGGTATTAATTAACATGATTAAGTAAGATGCGTGTATTTCTAAGGTGAAAAAAAAGGGTCTATTACAAAAGTAGACCAGATACAAAAGTAGCACTTACATAATAGATGTCATAGTTACAGATTTTATGTATGTTATAAGTAATTGATTAACGCATATAATACTGAGTAACGCTTGAAAGAATGATGCATCCAGTTGTAGAGAGGAGAATTCTAATCGGAGACTTGAGCAACCGGTGCTCATTTTCACCTTGCATTTTGTTTTAAATCATGAGTTATAGTGTAACAAATAGGCAAACTCCTCACTTATACTAATAAGAAATTGGAACTCAATTACAGATTCGGATAGCAAAGTCAACACTCAAACTGTTGAATTATAACGAGAAATACTGAAATACAAAAGTAACCAAGGATAGAGGTAAGGTGGAAATGAGAAATCAAAATCACAATTTAACAAACTTCAGCCTAAAATATGCTCTACGTCCTCCCTTGTATTTATAACTAATGTTCCGCCCCAATTTTGCTCCATTTCACGTGTTCACCTACGCCCCCACACAACATTATTTTGCATTTGCTCTGTGGCATGCCTCGTGGCATCATAATTAGCTTAGTCCAATTGACCATTTCATAACATTTAGGGAATAATTTATTGTAAATCAGTTAGCTTGTTCAAGGCAGTTAATCTGACTGCTAATCTTAATTCTAAAGAGATAATAACAAAGACAATGATTTCTTGCTGATTTGTGTCGTTGGTGCTCCAAGCAAATCCCTACCAGCACCAGCAACCATTTGTCTTTTATCCAAACCAAAAAACAATAATAATTAAACAAAAATCAAACGAGCACTATAATGGTGCAGAGGAGAAATGAAGGCCGCAACTATGAGCCTCTACACCATGGCAATGAGGAGCTAGCCGACAGTTGTCAGCTAGTGAATTTCAAGAACGAGGATGAATATAGCAGCTTAGGGGTAGAACCATAGAGGGACGACGGAAATCTATTTGGGTTTTAAAAAAGGGAACTTTCATAAATGATTATTGTTTGGAGGCTTATTATTGGACGTAGCTATAATTTAGCTAATTACATTTCGTAGATACTAATTGCCTGTCATGGGATGTATGTCGATGCATTCAATTTGGTTGTATACATTGTATTTAATTCGGATGTATTCGTTCTGATATATTTTATATTGTATTTAATTTCACGTTATTGAATTCAGTTGTATTCAAACAACAAAAAATCAAGAAATAAGGTGTATACTACTCTATTCAATTCGGCCGTATATACTTGTATACGGTCAAAATCGAGTCTGCCCTTCTTATGACTCATCGAGATTGGAACATGATGGTCCTAGATTCATCATTGTAATATCGAGCCATGATGTGAAGTTAGGTTGTTGAGCTCGAGCCCCAGAGACCGATCAATATCGAGATCGACCAAGATCGAGCTCGAAACCTAGAGACCAATCAATACCGAGACCGGCCAAGATCGAGATCGAGCCAAGAGACCGATCGATATTGAGATCGGCCAAGATCGAGTTCGAGACCTAGAGACCGATCAAGATTGAGATCGGGCCAAGAGACAAAAAAACCGTTATAACCGCAATTGGGGGAGAATCTCGGCGGAAATCACGGCTTGAATCAAAGAAAAGCTAATTAATTATTCTATCATGAGATCCCCACTATGTATTTTTAATTATATCCAAAATGGAATTCCCTCACTATATTAAGAGTTGTTATCATTTGTAGAGGGGACATTCAGATTGACTAAGATTTACATAACATCTAGCAAATATTATCCTTTTTCAGGCTTTGATATTGATTCATCTTGTTCTCTTATCAATCACTCTCCATCCAATTTGGGTTTGCATTCATTGTTTTTACAGTTAATTTTGATATATCTTTACTTATTTTTCCCATTTGTACCAAGTTATACCATGTATCCTTAGAACTACGTATAAATTCAACTCTATTCATTTTTCGGGTAAACAGTTTGGCGCCTACCGTGGGGCTAAGGATAATAGTAGTTATTTGGTACGAATCTCTATAAAATGCACTATTTTACACTTCCTCTTGGAAGTATCTTTGATTTCAGGCTAAAAATAATGAATTGTCAATTAATGGCCCTACCTATCGACAAGGAAGCTGGTCATCAAGATGAGAATAACAACCTGACGCCCGGGGATGAAAGGCCATCCGTTGACCCCGTTAGAACTCGGGGTGTGGATCCGATTGATGTTAATTCGCATGTGGCCATTAAAGCGAACCAACATTCCGACCCCGAAAACAACATTCATGGTGGAATTCGATCTGCAGCTCGAAATACCCAAAATGTTGGAGAAGACGGGATCAGCCTGCGTATGATTTTCGAAATGTTGCAAGCTCAACATGTAGCGATAGCCCAGTTGTAGAGCCAAACCCAGGCACCGAGCATGCCTGAGCCCACTCCACCCCGAAAAGTCACCCACAGAACGGGGCCAGCCGTAGTAAGGTCAAATGAACAAGAATCAGGGACTAACCCCGAAATTATAAGATACTTGAGGAACTGACAAAACGGATAGAGTTAGGAGAAAAGAGGATTGAAGCAAATGACAAAAAAGTAGAAACTTATAACTCCAGGGTTGATCAGATCCCGGGGGCACAACCAATATTGAAGGGTTTGGATTCCAAAAAGTTCATACAAAAGCCTTTCCCCCCGAGCGCAGCTCTCAAACCAATCCACAAGAAATTATGCATACTCGAAATTCTTAAATATAATGGAACGGCCGACCCCAACGAACATGTCACCTCTTACAAATGTGCCATTAAAGGGAACGATCTAGAGGACGACGAGATTGAATCCGTATTATTAAAGAAGTTCGGGAAAACCCTGTCAAAGGGAGCAATGATATGGTACCATAATCTACCACCTAACTCTATCGATTCTTTTGCCATGCTTGTAGATTCTTTTGTAAAAGCACACGCCGGAGCCATAAAGGTTGAGACCAGGAAGTCGAACCTTTTCAAGGTAAGGCAAAAAGATAACGAGATGCTAAGAGAGTTCGTATCTCATTTCCAGATGGAACGAATGGATCTACCACCGGTCACGGACGATTGGGCCGTTCAAGCTTTCACCCAAGGACTAAACGAACGAAGCTCAATGGCTTCACAACAGTTGAAGCAGAAGTTGATTGAGTACCTGGCTGTTACGTGGGCCAATGTACATAATCGATATCAATCGAAGATTAGAGTCGAAGACGACCAGTTGGGAGCTCCTTTTGGGTCCATTATTAAAAGGGACATCAACCGAGAACCGAGGTCAAACAGGGACCGATACCGGCTATATAATGGAGATCGTAGGGGCAACAGACCAGGGCATAATTCCGTAAAAGGGGAAAAGAGAAGTGATCGAGGCCAAGGATCTCGAGGGCTGATGAGCAAGAATGGCTTCGACATGCATTCCGGACCTAAGAAAGCACCGCGATTGTCAGAGTATAACTTCAACATCGATGCATCTGCCATCGTATCGGCTATCGGACGCATCAAAGATACTAAATGGTCTCGACCTATGCAGACCGATCCAGCCCAGAGAAATACCAATCCAATGTGCAAGTATCATGGCACCCATGGCCACAGAACGGAAGATTGCAGGTAGTTGAGAGAAGAAGTAGCCCGGTTATTCAATGAAAGGCACCTTCGAGAGTTTTTAAGTGATCGGGACAAGAATCACTTCAAAAACAGAGAGTTCAATAGACAAAACGAACAAGAAGAACCGCAACACATTATCCACATGATCATCGGAGGGATCGACATCCCCCAAGGGCCTGTGTTTAAACACACTAAGATGTCGATTGTAAGAGAGAAGCTATCTCAGCTCAGGATTACACACCTAAAGGAACCTTGTCCTTTAATGATGAAAAGGGAGAAGGAATCATGCAACCCCATAACGATGCACTGGTAATATATGTACTTATGAATAAAACTCAAGTTAAGCGTGTGTTAATTGTTCCAGGTAGTTCGGTCAACATCATTCGATCGAGGGTCGTAGAGCAACTCAGTCTACAAGACCAGGTCGTGCCCCCAGCCCTGGTACTAAACGGATTCAACATGGAATGTGAAACTACTAAGGGAGAGATAATATTTCCAATAAACATGACCAGAACGATCCAAGAAACGAAGTTCCACATAATCGAGGGCGATATGAGGTATAATGCCCAGTTCGGGAGGCCGTGGATCCACAACATGAGAGCAGTACCCTCGACCCTTCACTAGGTTCTAAAATTCCCAACACCAGAGGGAATCAAAACAATCTACGGGGAGCAACCAGCCGCAAAGGAAATATTTGTCGTCGATGAAGTAATTCCGATATCATCACTCTCATCGACAAAGGGATCGAATTCGAAGGGAAAATGGGATACCAAATAGCAATCACAAACTTCAGCCTCGACACAACTAGGGAAGCAGAAGACTGACGAAGATGATGATTATGGGATCCCTCGATCTTTCGTGGTCCCTGATGACTCCGACGCTACCAAATCAACAGTCGAAGAACTGGAGCAAATCACGCTAATCGAACATTTTCCCGAACGAAAGGTATACCTGGGCACGGGGTTAAGTCCCGAGCTCAGGAAAAAGCTTATTCAATTTCTTATAGCTAACATGGACTATTTTTCTTGGTCCCGTCTTGACATGACAGGGATCCCACGGGAAATCACCACTCATAGACTAAGCTTGGATCCAAAATTCCATCCGGTGAAGCAAAAAATAAGGCCCCAGTCCGAGGTCAAACATGCCTTCATCAAGGACGAGGTAACCAAACTTCTTAAAATAGGATCCATCCGAGAAGTGAAGTACCCCGAATGGCTAGCAAACGTGGTGGTAGTCCCTAAGAAGGGAAACAAACTTGGAATGTGTGTAGA